CACTTTTCTCAATTCAGCTCGCAAGTTTAAGATCGGTTCTCTTGTTTTCCATGTTTATTTTAAGCCAAATTTACATCGTATTCCGGAAAAATTTACCAACATCGAGAGCAAATGATCAGAATTACCCTCTAAGAAACTCAAGGCAAATATAATTGTTGCTAATTTTTTCAGTGTACATTTGAAATTGTTTTTTTTTGTATTCAGTATAGCTCCCCGCAATCTTTAGATTCAAAGTTTTACCTCAAACTATCAATGTTTAGATTCGAAAATTTTCCTTCCTGGTTGATCCGGGTCTGGAAAAACCAGATTTCTTCATGCAAAAACTTATGGCATATTCAATTTCTGATTACATAGGCAAGTCTTTGCATCCAAACATTGATTACTTCATAAGGGATCATGTTTTCTTAGTCTATGTAAAAGTTTAGCTGAAATTCGAAATAAATCTTATCCAAAAACATCAAATATGCATTTGAAAACAGGCACTTTTGAGAGCTTATCACTATAATTTCTATAAATTCTTCAAGTTTGTACACCAGTGTATACGAGATTTCCATGAATTTGAAAATTTGACTCTAGCATTAGAGGAAAAAAATCATGCATGTACTTTAAGTTTTGATTTCAATTGGCAAGAGATGCAATTTGAGACATCCGGGCAAAACCAATAATTTTGTTATCAATTTTTTCAGAGTAAATTTGAAATTGCGTTTTTTTATCTTCAGTAAAGGGGAGCTCTTGAAAAGAAGAAAAAGAAAGATAGCACCCTTCTCTAAATTTTTTTTTTGAAGAGGGGATCAGAATGAAAAAAATCTTAAGGTCGAGCATAGCATAATTTTTGAGAAAGTTTACCATGTCAGAGTTTTCAATAGCACATTGAACTGTTTGCGACTTTTTACCAATAGCATTTGCTGTAAAGTCCCCACCATCTGCGAACATCAGTTTGGTTGTCGGATTGTGTAACCAGTTGTCGTGGTCCCACTTTGTATTGAGTCTAAGGTTAAGAAGGTCACTGGTTGTTTGACATAGGAAGGTCACTGGTGATCTGACTCTCACCGGGGGTCTCGTCCGCTTTGATTACTTGTAATACTTCTGCCCCTTTAGAAGGACTACTATCCGCAGCGGGAAGTGATCTTTCAACACACTTTTCACCCCCAGGTCTGTTTATGAACAGATCTTTTTATTGCTTTTGAAACTTGCCATTATTGACCTCACTTTTGCTCCTTCTCTCCAGCCAACTCAAACGATGAATAACTTTCAACACCTGTTATACTTCGTGAGTTTGATCGAGGACGTGCTTCTCTTGGAATCTTTCTAGGCCGCTCTCTAACATCTCATTTCGGGCATACTTCCTCAAATTATTGCACTTTAAGTTTAGCTTTTACCTTTTTGCAACCAACTAGTCAGTTCTGTTGTTTAGAACCTGACTGTGTACACTTTTTCTTTTTTGAAATACCAAACGTTTAGGTAGTTTAGTACAGAAAGAAAGTAACTTTTTTCAGTTTCTGGATCCGTTAACCCTGCTTGGGCATTGCACACCAACTCCTTAAGAGTCAATAGAGTCAACGTGGGACAGGTGGTTATCTGATGTGACCTCGGACAGTTTTCAGAGAGGTAATGATTTGGTCCAGGAGAATTCCTTTGAACTTTTTCTCAGAAGGCTTTCTCTAGCAAAAGATTTTTGTTTTTTGTTTTATTTCGGGGGGTAAGATCACTCAGAGTAGTCTCGCATGATCTGAGTGATGCCCGGTACTACCTCTCCTACTGACCCTATTAATTCTCCAGACCTTGTTCCGATCGGACAAGATATGAACTATGTTTGCAACTGAGCCTCTGGGTTGACGCCACGTTATAAGCCTGCTTAAAGTCTTCTTGAGTAACGTGTTCACGATTTTGAAATTTTGTTTCGAACAAAAATGTTAACTGTTTGAGTTTGTTTCTTTGTCAGCAGTCCAGGCACCAGCTAGTGCCATCCGTTTTTACCATGCTTTTTACTGATTCTTGCGTTCAAATAATTTGAAATCAGAGTAGGACATCCATCTTACAGCTGCGGAAATCGTCTTTCATTACTCTGTAGAGATCGTGCAATGTAGAAGACATCAACCCGCTTTTCACCTGATTCATCGTCGGGGTTTGCGGGACTGTAAGGAGAAACTACTTTGAATGTCGGACTACTAATGCGACTTTTTAACTAGGTGATCATAACTTGGTTAGTTTCCTTTTCATTGAACTCAAATTGAGATCAACCCCAACTCTATTTTTTCTCTCGGGGTCACTCGAGCACACAACAGCGTGAATTCTACCTAGTTCTTCGCTGTTCAAGTGGGTCTCACATAAACCCAGGATGTCAAAACGCCGCTCTAGCATCAATGGTTCTAACTTCTTTCAATTCCTTTGATGATCCTACAATTCTAATGTCCAAACTTCCACGGGCGCTGCCTTACCAAAAAAATGTCTCGGGTCGGTCGCTTCTGTTTCTGATTGGTTTCTTTCATTGATTTGATTGTAGCTAGTTTTTCTACGGGTATGACCAACGGGCATATGTAACAACGAGTGGACTGTTTGCAAGTCAGTCTTTAGCTGCATACAAGTTTTGGTCTTGCCCCTCTGTCCTTTAGTGACTGCTTGACTTTCAACTGTTTGAAACTGACTATTTTTTTTGCTTTAATGGTTCTACAAATCGATTCTGCGGAACAAAACGCTCTTTATCATTGGTACAAAACCGAGCCATGAAAAAAAAACTATTTTTATTTCTCAAACATTTCTCAAAAATTTTTCTTAAATAGTTTTTCGTTTTAGTTGAGTGTCTTTTTTCCGAGATAAGTCAAAGATACCATTATAACCAGTGGTCCGCGCAGTGGTCAATTTTTTTAAGTTTAAAGAAATTTCCCATTTTTTAAAGAATTCTGCCAGTTCTTTTGTTTGAAAATGTATGAAGAATTTTTCAAGCTGGCTCGTTTGGCATTGCAGGCAGTTTTTCAGGCAGGCATCTTGCTTTTGAGCGTAGTCTTATTATTTGGATTAAAATTTTGCTTTTGTTTATCAGAGTTTTTGATTTTAAATTACCTTTGTTGTTCTAAAAATTTCTCAGAATTACAACAATTTTGGGTTTATTGCATAATGAATAGTTTAAGTTTGTCCCAATTTAACGTCTTTTTCCCCAAATAATAAGCAAACGCACAATTTCGTTTTCTTTTTTTTTAAGCTAAGAGCTGCAATTTAAAAGTACACTGGTGTACAAAATTAAGAAATTTAAGAACGATTTCTTGTTTTCTTCTTTAAAACGCCTGTTTTCAAGGATAACCTTTGATAATGTTCACTGTGAGTTTAAGCAAAGTTTTTAAATCGACAGATCAAATGAGCATAGCTACCTCTGTGTAATTGTTAAAATTGAGTTTCAAGGACTTGCCAGTTTTCTTTCCGAATCTGAAACCTCCAGTTATATATATGACTGGTAGGCAGGGGCGGATCTAGAATTTTCTTGAGGGGGGGGGGCGGATTATCAAAAAAAAATCGAAAATTTTGACGATCTTTTTTTAGGTCGATCAAATTGATTTTCCAAGCTCTCCTAAAGCACTGAAAAGACGCTTACTCTGGCCAATTTTTTTGCGCTGCCAAATTTTTTGAAAAAGCAGGTCAAAAAAGCCGTTTTTGTGCACTTTTTGGAAAATTTTGACAAAAAAATCGCCTTTTTTTGCCGCGCGCTCCCCTTCAAAGTTAGTATGTATTGGCGCCTTTAGAAAGGCGCGTTTAGAAAAATTTTAAGGTCGGTCGGCCAAAAATGATTTTCGTAAATGGTACCAAAAGGGGCACGGCAGGGGGTCGGCAGGGGGTCGAATCCTTTGGGTCGGCAGGGAGTCGAATCCTTTGGCTGGGCAGGGGGAGGAGTCCCTCAGAGGGAAGGAAGCGTCCGCTATCCCCCCCCCCTAAACCCGCCCCTGCTGGTAGGCACTTATATTACCCCTCAAATCAACCCAAATTTGAGGCAATTTTACCTTAGATTTTCGACTGAGGGACACTTAAAAAAACGCTCAGTTGTATGTCATTTTTTTTCTTCCGTTTTTTGTTGCAGATATTAAAAAACGTGATTGCGATAATGCCCACGCTGAAAAAAGAGACTCTTTTTTCAAATTTTTACTCTATCCCAGTGAATTGGAATGCTGCTACAAAATTTCAATCAGCTACAAAGATTTCATGAGAGCGGGATGTGCATTCCGAGTTTTCTGAAAAAAGACTTTAAGAAATGCAATCTAGCTTGATTTTCATTGGAAGAATCAATTTCGGGAACTTAATTCAAAAAACCAAAAGAGTGAACAAAAAACAACAAATGATCTTGACGACAGATGTGACCATCAATTTTTCAAACGATCCTCCCGTACCCGTAGCAGTAGACGTGAAATTCATTGAAAAGTGGAAAGTTTGGTTTTGATTATTCGAACCATTTTTCAAACGAGGATGATCGGAGAAATTGTTACTTTAAAGTTCAGCAATCAACCGTGCTGACAAAAATGTTAATCATGCAATTCCATACAATTCCATACTATGACAAAATTCCTTATCATACCATTCCATACAATTCCATAGATTAGGAAAGTTATAGCCCGTACCGAACTTTTTGGCCATAATCATATCTGATCATTGTAAAATCATGCAAAATTCATGTCTGTTACAGATGTGCAGCATGTCTATATTCGGCATGCACATACCTGCATCAGACCTGCATCAGGTGTGCTAACTGAAGATATGCTCACACCTGCAGCATGCATGATCATGCCTGAACTGAACATGCTCACACCTGCCGGATACATGATCATACCTGAACTAAACATGCTCACATCTGCAGGATACATGACCATGCCTGAACTAAACATGCTCACACCTGCAGGATACATGACCATGCCTGAACTAAACATGCTCACACCTGCAGGATACATGACCATGCCTGAACTAAACATGCTCACACCTGCAGGATACATGATCATACCTGAACTAAACATGCTCACATCTGCAGGATACATGACCATGCCTGAACCGAATATGCTCAAATCGGTATCTTCAGTATTATAAGATTATTAAAGATATGGTTAATTTGTAACAACATCATAAACTCAGCTTGATAATGTGACACTTTACTTCAAATTTTTAGTTTTTTTTTCAGATTTTTTCTGACATCGGTGAAGTTTTTTGTTGAAAATTGACAGTAGTGGGTAGATGCATCTTTCTTTAATTGCAAGCAGGGAGTCGTTGGTAGCGGGGCGTGTGGATACTTTTCTCTGTTTCCTGACAACATAAAACTAATTGTTAGTCAAAACTTTTAACTAAATAAAACAAAATTAAATTTCATTCAAAAAAATTTGCGCTCGGGGTAGGTCACAATATGTAGTTTGTTCAACATGCAAAAATTCATTACATTATGACAACGTAAAACGTAAAATTAGTCTTTCATTACTTATTCTCTAAAACGTGTTGCTCAGTAAAAAACAAAACTTTGATTTGAACTGAACTTGGAAAGTAATGTTTTGGCGATGTCTTCATCCCCCCTCTGAGCCGCGTAGTGCAAACATGTCCAGCTATCTTTGGCCGCCCCCACACAATTGGCCCCCTTCTTCACAAGAGCCTCGAAGGCCGAATGTCTACCCTATGCATTAGGTCTCAAATCACAATCATCCCAATTGGCATGAATAAAAAAAATATATTTCAGCTTTCTCCCATCATAGTCCCACCAGCATTTTACAGCCTCCCCCCTCCCCCTCATATGACAAAAATCGCAATACGTTCCTAGCAGGTTATTTTTCGAGGACTGCTCTACTATCATTATATTTTGGTGGGCTTCCTTTCGACCCCGAGTACATCTAGCATTCGGTTGTAATTCATTTTCAATCCTTCGTATTGCCTTTTTTCCCTGAAACAAAAAAAAGTTGAGGAAATAAATTTTTAAAAAACATTGTGGAAAAATGCTAGTCATACAATTTTCATATATGAAAAACCACTAATCATAGACCTTTCATGCAAATTTCTGTACGTTTGGAATTGCATGAAAAGTGTATGATTAGCATTATTGGAATAAAAAAAATCACCCCTAGCACAGATATTCCGTTTTTTATTACAAAAGTTGGAACAGTTATGTAACAAAAGTTTTTGTTTCAACAGTCCTGTGCATAAGTTTGACAAACGACTGGTTTAATGCTGGAGCTCACAACAACAGTGGGTGAAACTTTCGTGCATAAGGAATAGACTGCTCATTTTGTACTTTATATGGTGTGTGGGGGGATAATTTTCATTAAAAAAAATTCAAACTTTAGAAAAAAAAAATCATTTTGTTTTATTTCATTTAATTTTTGAATGTTATTACTGCTCCAGAAACCGTGAAAGGCAGTCGGAACATTCAGGGCTTTGCCCTGATACGAGCAGTCTCGTCTGTTTTAATTTCACTTTGTTCCAATCTACTTTAACAAATAAAATTAGAAAAAAATCATGCGTCAAAAAGTAGTCGCACATTTGTTGTTATTTTTTTCAATGAGATTAATAGTATCAACCCATCAAATTTCTTTAATTTATTTGCAACTTTTTTGGCTACCGGTTTGCGAAAATTGAACGATTTTTTTTATGTTCCGCTCAAAATTTATCAAAATTTGCAAAAATCATACGTTAAAAAGTAGTCGCACATTTGTTGTTATTTTTTTCAATGAGATTAATAGTATCAACCAATCAAATTTCTTTAATTTATTTGCAATTTTTTTGGCTACCGGTTTGCGAAAATTGAACGATTTTTTTATGTTCCGCTCAAAATTTATCAAATTTTGCAAAAATCATGCGTTAAAAAGTAGTCGCACATTTGTTGTTAATTTATTCAATGAGATTAATAGTATCAACCAATCGAATCTTTTTAATTTATTCAAACTTATTGCGGCTACTGGTTCGCGAAAATTGAAGGAATTTTGGCCAAAAAATTTTGTGACGAATTGCTTTAATTATAGTTCAAACTGGGGATTTTTAGTTTTTTTCGACTATCCCTCCCGTTGCCCCCTGAAACTAACCTGACGTCCTCTTTTCTGGGATGTAGAGACGACATAATTTCCTTCATTTGAAGATGGTTGGCTCGAGGAGGTAAATTTGGATAAACTCATTTCGAACAAAATCTGAAAAAGTGAAATTTTAACAACAAAGACCAATTAGTCAAGATACGCGAAGTAATGTATAAATAAATATGTATTTGTCAAGTTTTCAGTCAGGCGTTATCATGTCTGCGGCAGGCATGAACATGTTTCACTCAGGTCTGATCATGTAAGATCCAGGTACGACCATGTCTGTAGAAAAATACGCATGCTCACTTCTGAACAGCCCTGCATAATGGGGGAACAGTCCTGAGAATTTTCTCTCCCCTGCTAAATGGATGATCAGCCGTGAAATGGAACAAAAAGTTCAGTACGGGAGGGTATTAGCATGACAAGCGTTTTTTCCATTTCATGGAATTGTATGATATTTTTTTCATGCTATGAAATCGTTTTTTTTTTCGTATAAATATTCTGCGTTTCGCTTCATACTTCTGCTTCGCCGTGAAATAAAAAAAAACAAACGCTTACTGAAACAAGAAAACCAATAGGTTAAACGGCAATAAAAATGCAGTTAATTTCTATTAAGAGTTGTCAAGCAAGTTAAACATTTGAATTTCATTTGCAAAAACTGCAACTTATGAGGCCTCTATTTCATAAAACTCGGAGATTGAAAATTTTGTCCTGTTCTTTTGGACAGTTTTAGGTTATTTGTTAATATCTAAAGCTGAAATTTTTAAGTTTTGCCATCACAGAGAACCTTAGTTTTTTGTTTGTCCAAAAAAAACTATATTTTCGATGATTGAAAATAAAATGCTATTAATCAGTTCCAGTTCAAAGTAAGCTCATTTAAACTTACCAAAGAACATTTTTGGATGATTTCTGAAAAAAAATTAAATGAAAAAAAATGCTTGTCATACAAGATTCTTTAATGTGAAGTGTATGATAGACATTTTTGCCCTAGCAACTTTGTTTGGAAATGTAAAATCAACTTTATTGTATGGAATTTTAAGATAAGCATTTTTTGAATGGAGGTCAACTCGGGCATGAAAGGTTTTATTGAAGTTTGCCAGTTGATGCAATGGCAAAAGAAACTTGATTGACCTTACACGGGGCTGTTAAAAGATGCAACGAAATAAACCTAATTAAATTTCAAGAGCTAGATATGGTTGGAAATTGTGTGAAATTAAGATGTAAATTAATCATTGATGGTACCTTGAATGAAGTTTCAAAATAAAACTACGCTAATAAAATTTGTTTTTGATTAGGAAACGAAGGCTAATGTACTGTTAATTTAGTGCCCAAATTTGGCTTGTATAAATAAGTTTTTGCAAAAAAGAAAAAATTTTTGGCATACAAAATTTGTGTTACTCAAGCAAAGCAAAACTTTAAAAGAATCATTTTATACGTTAAAGAAAAGGTTTTTGAAGTTTCTTCCATAATAATTAGCAGATCAGCAGTGAAGGCTACAAAAATTGACTAAAGGTTGTGGTTTAAAGGCAATCGTTTTATAGATATGAATTTTATTGGCAGGTTTGATCATATATAAAATAAACTGTTTCATATCAGGGCCCTGTTTGATCTCAAATCTTGTTTTTTCATAAATGTTTCAAGAAAAACAAAAAAGGTTAGAGTTTAAATAGAAAATTAATATATCTCCATTGCATGATCACAAGCTCTTTGATTTAGTAAGAAAGCCTCAATACAATTGTACTGTTTGAATTGAGGGTTCATTCACCGCTTAAGCGGTAAAAACAATTGAATATTTCCTAAGCTTTTGCCAAAAAAAGGAACTTTCAATCTCGCAAAAAGTAAACTATTGAAATACTCTTGCAATTTCGAGACCAGAGTAGCTATAACGTTCGGATGTTTTTGGAAATTTTGTCTAAAATATCAACTCAAATATCTCACAAAAAAAATTAAATTAAAATGATCACAATTCTCTCATATTTTTCTCGAAGTCTGATCAACAAATGCCCAGGGCCAATGCCAAATAGCCAAAACTTTGCGACTAGCCACACAAAAAACGTTGATTTTTATTAGGTACTATTTCAACTTTCCAAAATCTGTATCAGATAAAAATGCACGAACGTGCGTTCTTTCCCGAAGAACCTGAAAGCTGCTACAGAAATTAAATCAGCTGCAAATAGTTCGCGATAGCAGAGTATGCGTTCAAATCCAAAAAAAAACTAAAACATCGATGTTTTTCCTCATTGGCACAAATAATTATGGTAATTGGAATCGCAAAATGAGAACAAAAAACTCAAAATCAAAATAACGAACTACAATTTGATAATTATAACTGAAAATGGAGTATCTAGAAATTTTCCGTCCTATTTAGCTTTAAAAATCTTTACTATAACGAATGTTGCTTTGATTAATCAATTCTTTTTTCAAAGAAGAGGGCGGGAGTGTTTGTTGCTTTTTGATATCATGTTCAATAGCCACTTAGGGTATCTTTTTTACATAGATAATAAGGCTAAGTTTTTTTGGACGTGAGAACGTATTCAAACAAGAGTTTCATATTAGGGTTTATAATTGTTCTCACTACCTTTTAGCGTATGTGAGATCTGATCAACTTTTGTACAATTATCAATAAAAAATTAAACGATTGATGTTTTTCTCAATCTTCCTGGTATGAAGATTTATTCAGTTTTTACACCTAAGACCATTCGCCGCTTGCGAAATAAAAAATTGCCTTTAAAATTGATGCAGTTGATATATCTTGCTAATTTTGAGCCAGGGGCATCTTGGAACCTGATCTAAACTACATTTTATGATTGGATAAATTAGATATTTTACCAATGTAAAGTATTTAATATTAACCAATCATGAT